TTATAGTTGTGGTGTGGACTTCGCTATTCTCATAGAGCGATTATTAGAACTGTATGGTTATATATCGTTATAGTTATCGGTATAGTTAACGTTATAGTTGTGGTGTGGACTTCGCTATTCTCATAGTTAGAGCGATTATTAGAACTGTATGGTTATATATCGTTATAGTTATCGGTATAGTTAACGTTATAGTTGTGGTGTGGATTTCACTTTTCTCATAGTTAGAGCGATTATTTGAACTGTATGGTTATATATATCGTTATAGTTATCGGTATAGTTAGCGTTATAGTTGTGGTGTGGACTTCGCTATACTCTTAAAGCGATTATTAAATCTGTATGGTTATAGTTATTTTTATTGTTATAGTTATCATTACAGTTAATGTTATAGTTATCGTTAAAATTGTGTGGATTTCACTATTGTTTTCGAGTGATTATTGAACTGTAAATTTATTGTTATTATTATAGTTATCATTATAATTATCATCGTTATAGTTACCATTATAGTTAATGATATAGTTGTGGTGTGAGTGATTATTAAAATTTTATCATGATTATTAAATTATTAAAACTTTATCATGAAAGTATTCTCTTAGAGTTCAAGTGATTATTAAAACTGCAATGTTATTAGGCAGCCTATCATCATTGTAGTTGTTATAGTGATCATTATCATTATAATTATTTTAGTTATCGTTATAGTTATTTTACTTATTGTTGTAATTATCATTATAGTTATCATTATAGTTATTGTCATCGTTATAATTATTTTAGTTATCATTATTATTGTTGTAGTTATTTTAATTATTGTTATAGATATCGTTATAGTTATTTTAATTAGCATTGTAGTTATTGTTATAGTTATCGTTATAGTTATTTTAATTAGCATTGTAGTTATTGTTATAGTTATTGCTATCATTATAATTATTTTAGTTATCGTTATAGTTATTTTATTTATTGTTGTAATTATCATTATAGTTATTGTCATCGTTATAATTATTTTAGTTATCATTGTTATTGTTATAGTTATTTTAATCGTTGTAGTTATGGTTTTAATTATCATTATAGGTATTCTTATTATAATTATTTTAGTTATTGTTGTAGTTATCATTATAGTTATTTTAATGATCATTGTATTATAGTTATCGTTATAGTTATCGTCATCATAAACATTTTGATTATCATCGATATTTTTATTGTTATATTTATTGTCACAGTTATTTTAATTATCGTTGTAGTTATAGTTATCGTCATCAATATAATTGTTTTAGTTATCGTTGTTAATGTTATTGTTATTGTTATAGGTAATTTAATTATTGTTATTGTTAAAATTATTTTAGTTATCGTTGTTATTGTTATAGTTATTTCAATTACCGTTATAGTTAACATTATGTGTATTGTTATCATTATAATTTATTTATTTATTATTAAATCATTATAGTTAT